CCTGGGACGCGGCGGGATGGAACATGGCATGGCCCCCAATGGCCCCATGGCCCCGTCCTGGGACGCGGCGGGATGGAACATGGCATTGCCCTGATGGCCCCATGGCCCCGTCCTGGGACGCGGCGGGATGGAACATGGCATTGCCCTGATGGCCCCACTGCCCTTGTGCCAGGATGTGGTAGAATGGGACACGGCTTGAACCTGCAGCACCTGGATGCTTCGCACACTGGACTGCACGTTGCCTAACACAATGAGCCCTGACCCTGCGGTCTCCCTTGACGTTACTGTTATATATGTGCTAATGACTAATAAATGTGTATCAGCAGCGCCTCTGTCACCCCCTCTTCTCCCTGGTAGAGTCAGTCGGTTTCCGCTGTTGTTTGTGTGGGGTGTTAATTCAGCAGCAGAGAAGAGGAAAATCTTTTTAACTAGGGGGTCACGCTGTGGTGTCTGTGCATGCCATGTCCATTGCACACCCCAGGGGTTCTCGGCATCCCTCCATTTCCCCCTCGAGCACCCTGCGTGCCACCCTCCCAGTCCCCTCTATTTCAAGGACTCCTTGCAACACTCCCACCCTCTCCCTCATTCCAGCAGCTCTCTGTGCCCCTTCCTATTCCCCCTTCTCTCTATACCGGTGTCCCCTCTTTCTACCTCCCCCTTCCAGGGATTCTCTGTGCCTCCATTCCCATCTTTGCTCCATTGTCCCATGCCCTGCACCATTCTCCTTATTTGTGTTCTGTCTGGGAGAGAAGGCTGTCAAGGTGCCAACATTTTAAACCAAGCCGGAGCGGAGTTGAGGGATGTTGTTATGCTGAAAGGTATTAATTTCTGCCCTGAGCTGGTTCTTTGATCTACAGACAAGGTGTTAGAAGCAGACACTCTGCTAACCAGATGGCAGGGGCTCTGTGTGTGCCCCATTTCCCACTCCTCCCCTCCCCCCACTTTTCACCACCATAAAGAGGTTTCTGACCATTGATACCATTCCTTGGCATTTTAGCATTAATCGGATGCAGAATTCAAAAATTATCACATTACCAACACACACAACAACGTAGTCAAGTTATCGTATTACCAACATACAGACACAGCAGTGCCGTCAAGTGGAGTATTAGACCTCGCTTTGATTGTGCACAAATAGGGAAATGGGACTGTGAAATGGATGGGGAAGAGGGGCAGTCAGGAGCAGGTGTGGGACCTGCAAGTATTTTACAGCATAGTTGAAATCTGACAGAACAAGGAGTAATGGTCTCAAGTTGCAGTGGGGGAGGTCCAGGTTGGATATTAGGAAACACTATTTCACTAGGAGGGTGGTGAAGCACTGGAATGCGTTACCTAGGGAGGTGGTGGAATCTCCTTCATTGGAGGTTTTTAAGGTCAGGCTTGACAAAGCCCTGGTTGGGATGATTTAGTTGGGGATTGGTCCTGTTTTGAGCAGGGGGTTGGACTAGATGACCTCCTGAGGTCCCTTCCAACTCTGATAGTCTATGATTCTATGAAACTGACTAGATTTGAAATTGATGCTCCCCATTCCAGTTTGAATCAGCAGCTCTGTGACCAACACCCTTAGGTTCCAAAGTCCTTTTCTCTACACTCTTTAAAATTCAGCCCTGGTATAAGTGAATTAAACTGCATTCCAGTCAATAGAAGTTTGTCCCATCACATCAGGGCTGAACCAGGGCAAGGAAGTCATGAGAATGCCAGTGTCAGGCTGGCTTGGTCAATCTAATTGGTGATGTTAGGATGTTTGGTTTCTAAAGAGCCACTAACAATCCCTTAGGAAAGCTTTGTTGTCTAAAAGGAGCTCTTCAAATAAATTATCCCCAAGACAGACTTTGGATTTGGATTTGGATTTAAAGGTGGGATGTCAGACCACATTCTAACAAACCCACTCTGAAAAGCCTAGTGTAGACAAGGCAGCAAAGACATGAACATGTTACACCGCTCGAAAGTCTAAGCTCCCACTCATTCGACCAGTTTATCATGTGTTAAAACAGTGGTTCTCAACCTTTCCAGGCCACTGTACTCCTTTCAGGAGTCTGATTTGTCTTGTGTACCCCAGGTTTTACCTCTCTTAAAAACTCGGGCTTTGGCTTCAGCCCCATGTGGCTTTCTGCCCTGGGCCCCGGCAAGTCTAAGGCTGGCCTTGGTGACTCCAGTAAAATGAACTGATCTGCAGTTTGAGAACCGCTGAATAGTATATAGAGCACTATAAACATGTCAGTGTCTGTGTGAAATTTTAGTTTGTACTGACTTCACTAGTGCTTTTCATGTAGCCTGTTGTAAAACTAGGCAAATATTTAGATGACTTGACTACCCCCGGAAGCCCTCTGCGTATTCCCATGGTTACACATACCCCTGGTTGAGAACCACTGTGTTAAAATGTACACCACCTTGCCTATACCACACTTACAATGTGCTAGCTAGAACAGGTGAGATAGCACGTTTTAACAATGCATCTTTAAATCCTAGTCTAGATTCTAGACAAACCCAAAGTGGCCTTCAGGCTACACCCTGCCCTCCTAGGGAACTGAGCCAAAACAATCCTGTTCCCCGCTCTCCCTCTTATTCTTAACACACATAGGCCCAGGCTTTACAGTCAATTATACCAGTTGTTGTTGGCGCATCTTCTTTTTCTCTCGTGTAACAGCACCACCTAGTGGTAGAGTTCTCCTCTTTTGCCCTGACACACAGGAGGATCTAGGAGTCCTGTGTTGTTACCATCATTTATTCAACCAAATACAATGTATGAGTCTCACCTTGGATGACAAACCAGTTGCTGTTGCACATTATGAAATACATCACCCCCTTCTCTCAAGAATACTTCTCATGCACCAGAGCCAGTCCTGCTTGATCCCTGGACCAACCCATTGAACTGGAGCCTCCAATATGGCCGTGTGGCATTGTTCTTTATCCAGGAGATGGGTGCGTCCTGATTTCAGGGTATGTCGCAGAGGGCAGGGTTCAGGTTGTCTGGTTATGCCCTTGGTGACTGGTTGATTTCATGGAGGTGTATAGTAGAAGAAGATGGGGTAGGTAGAGGTATAGCTTTATATGACATTGTTCTGGTGGTTTTGACTCAAAAGGAAGAAGGGCAGTGTGAGCCCCTGCCCTCCCCGGTAAGCCCCATGAGGGGGGCTCTGCTTCTGCAAAGCGGTGTGTCCACTTCCTCCCCAAGCACCACTCTGACATGGCCTAGCTTCAGAGCAACAGAACTGTCACCGTGGGCTGAGTGTCCCACCCCCATTTCACAGAGTGTGGCAGGATGGCACAGGGCAGCAGGAAGATGGTGTCACACACACAGGTGCAGGAAAGCACATAGTGGTGTTCTCCCCTGCATAG